GATAAAGCTGAGAATATTATATGAGATCACAGAGTGACTACAGAAACAGATAGCTAACCACACGGCAGACAAAGTAGTGCCCTTATTGTATATATAATTGTTTAATAAAAATAACAATAACCAGAAAAATTAAAAATATCGACCCTCATATTCCACCAGGCTGATAATCAGTTGATTCCTAGTTAGTGCCACAGTCTGTATAAATATACGATGAAAGTAGCCTCCAGGTCTGTAAAGTGAAGCCAACGCACAAGTACCACAAACCTGCATTCTTTCTAGCAGCCATCAGGGGGCGACACCTCTGGTTGCAACAAGAAGTCAGCTTGTATGGAAATAAATAAAATCAATGTCTTTATCTCTCCCTGCATCTGTTACCTCAGTAAACATTTTTCTAATGAGTTTATGGTCTCAATCTCTATTTTTAAGACATTTTAAATACAACCTGATGCTCATTTTGTAAATTCTGATCCCATTCAGCGTCAAATATATGATAAAGCACGTCCCTTTGTCGTGGCACTTTAGCTCACTTTTTATGACCCTCTAAAGATTTCCGTGCTAAAGAAGTGTTTACCAAGTATATACAAATATTTTTTTCATTTTTAAATGTCAGTTGTTTTTTTTTTTATTGTATTTTCCCCACTGATTTTTTTTTGGGATTGTCTGTTGCTGCTGTATGAAAACATGTAGCACAGACACACAACCAAACATCTGTCTTTATTTAGATGCTGGACATGCAGCAGGCCAGATAACTAGCCAGGAGATTAGGTTAACGGTCGGCTTGATATGACTGATGAGAAACAAAAAGACACGGCAGGCGTTCATCAACGGAATTTGAAACAAACTTTTGAATTGTTCCAAAAGTCAAAAAAGATGACAGTTTATTTCACAAGTGATCATTTAAATAATACATGTTACACAATTTATTTCTATGATTTTCAGACAATGTCCCTGTTTTTACAGTTTGTTGCTAATATACATGTTGTAATTTTGGAGATTTAAAAACAATAACATGCCGTTTAAACCTACCATCTGGGTAGGTTTAAAGGACCCTGGCGTCAAAGGGTTAATACTGAACACTTAAGCCTCTGTCGTATCATGGTTTGCTTGAGTGGGTTTGAGAATTATAGTTGTGCAAAGAAACTCAAGGGCACATTATGGAATTATGCCCAATATTTTTCTTTTTTTTTTTTTTACCACAAATGTATTCATCCTACATACATGTTGGATGAATTAATACCAGCTGATCGTATCAGCCCTCCATCATCAGGCTCTGAACATGCCGTGTCACTGTTTCTGTCAGACACATGTTTCTGTTCACATTAAATAAAGAGCAAACTACATAACACAAGCATCCTGTTTCATATAGTGTCATCCTGTACTTCTGGCCTCCTCATTGGTCAGATATCACATACAGGTTTGCTCTTCGTGTACGTTGGGTCATTAATCTTATCAGGACTGTGAGAGCATCAGTGTTGGTCTTTGTGTCCGCCTCCAGTATAAAGTCATATCTGTCCATCATTTCCATTAGAGAGTGCAGCTCCTCCTGTCCTGTGGGCAGCGACGCTGAGTTCAGGTGTAGTGCCACCCTCTGAGACAAACCTGCCACTGCTGCTGGGATCACAAGAGGCCATTTCTGCTCAGCCATGACGAAGGTGACGTAAGGAAACAACCTTTCTACTGTGGATACGAAGTCCTGAAGAAAGAGAGGACGAAGACAATGTAGAGGAACAGAAGCACAGCAAGAAACACCTAATAATGCACTTCCAGAATCACTTCATCCCTCCTTTGCCACGACTGTGAGGTTGGTGTTAACACTGACTTTTTCTTTCAAGAGTTGGGTATTGTATCATCCACCTCTGGTATGAATATACAATATGTCAGTACAACTGCAGTATACATTTGTCCTGAACATCTTAAATTTATGCCAGTAGATGAATTGGACAGATTGATTATGGATTTTTGCATAGCATGAAAGTGAGTGTAATATATCCTACACTGTAAAAAATATAAAATAAAATAAAAATCTGGCAGAAAAAGTGGAAAAATGGTAAAAATGGCAGCAAACATCTGTAAAGTAATATTTTAGCTGATCTAACAGTAAGGTAGTGTAATTTTACAATCACATATTGTGAAAGAACAAATTACTATTTGTAAAAATGCTGATTTTTGATGTGGACATCATGTACAGCTTTGGCTTTTACAGTCAACATATAAATGACAAGATATTATCTACAATTTAAATAAAGAGAAAATCCTTGAAGTAATTGATTAAAATATTTAGCATTTTTCAGTCCTCAGTGTACACATTTTCTCTATTGAAATTATGGGAAATATCTGTAAATTCATGTTATTTTTGCTGATTTGAACAGTTACGAAACTGTTATTTTTAATCTGAATTAACATTGTAAAAGAACAACTTGTTAAAATACATACTGCAAAGGCTAACATGTAAGTGAATACTTTATTTCTTTGATTTTACTAGTTATTATCTGTTATTTAATTAAACTGGGAAAATCTGCTGAGTAACAATAAGTTGTTCCAAAAAAACAAAAAAAAAATACAGTTAAAACAGTTTTAACTTAAGATTTCTCTCTGAATGTAGCAGAGAACAAGTATAAAGCTTCATAAAACTGATACACAACAGTAAAGTACAAGAACTGAGGTACAGTATTTCAGTAAATATACTTTAGTTACATTCCACCACTGTCGGTAGTTTTGTGACGAAGGTTTACGTTCCAGCCACACAAAGAAAAACAGAGAAACAAAGCAGTAAAAATAAGTTCAATGGAAGATGAGTAGAGACATAACAGATACCAGTAGGTCCGTTTCATTTTATAAACTTGAGTTGTTTAACTTCACAAATATTCAGTATTTAAACCAATCAAATCACAGTTGGGGGAAGTACGATGTTGAACGCTGCCCTGTTCTCCAGGTTGCAGCCAAAGATGCTTCAACGTTTCATACAAGTCAGAAACGCAGTTCTCGGGCAACTAAATACTTTTTTCTAATGTAAAGACACAGAAACCTTCCCAGTAGCAGTTATTCTCAAGAAGGTACATACCGCTGTGTGGTCGCTGCTCTGTAAACCCTCCATGCTGATCCACACAGGCCTGTAGAGCTCCTCAGCGCTGTAGGACGACTGCAGCAGGTGGAGAGAAGCTTCCAGAAGCTGATGAGTGCGGATCTGCAGGTAGATGCCCCAGGGGGCATCATCATTCTGCCCCAGCAGCTGAAGGACGTCCTGTGAGACACATCAGGCCTTATTATTGTGCATTTTTGGTGTTAAAGTCAACATTTCTTCAGTGATCATTAGAGAAACATGAGACCTGAACCATAAGTGTCATGAATAAAACTCAACTTAATATGTGATAGAAATACTACAAATATTAGCTAACAGCTGTAGTTTTAACATGAAACATTACTGAACAACTGTCAGCTCCACTTTTTTTGTCTTTTTTGTGCCTCAGATCAATAGAGAAGTGGGTTTTGGAGGATGTTTTAGGAAAACTTTAACATTCCCATAACAGCCATTGGACTTTTTCACATTTAAAATGGCAACAGGACACCAGTTACAGCCCAGTGAGTGGTGCTGATGTGTTGTCTCAGTCTAATACATAAAAAAAATCTTATCCTCTGTCAGTAAATCCTTGTGTTTCTTGCTGATATACCTGCAGCGTTAGCGGCTCCGAGCTGCCTCCAGAACCTTCCACCACAGGAACTCCAGGTCGGCTGCTGTCAGAAGCCACACGAATGACCAACATCCCACTGTCCCCACCTGGACGCACACAGGTGTTAGAAATGAGACAGAAAAGCATTGATGTGTCGTTGTTGTCACTGTGACCTCATGGTTTGATAAAACAGCAGCATCCACCAGTTTGTTGGACGCCATCAAGATGTCTCATTGAACACATGGAACCAGTTTAGACGACTTTTATCGTGCTAGAAACAGCCATTAGATGATGTCAGCTGTGGCCATAAAGGGATGCTTATGATCAACAGCAGTATTCAGACAAGCTGTGACATTCACACAGTGATTGTTGGAATTAAAGGGGCCAACGTGTGCCAAGAAAACATTTCTCACACCATCACAGAAGCCTGGGCCTTCGACAGGCTTTCATTCATGATGCACCTGCAGCCTTAAACTTCATCGACCAGGCTACATTTTTCTAGTCTTCAACTGTCCAGTTTTGGTGCCACAGTTAAAGTCACTGAGTTCACATTTTGAGTCCTTTCTGTTGTTTGATAAATATGTACTAAAGCTCCTGACCTGAATCTGGGATCGACCCTCTACACAATAAAGTGGGTAGAGCAAGTGTTATGGAGGACACCAGAGTTGCACAAACATCTGCTGAGATGTTCTGCCATTCTTTAGAAACTATTTATTTCAGCTGCTCATTGCTGGAGAGGTTGTGTTGCTCCAACTTTCTCTTTAATATACCCCAAAGTTGTTCCATGGGCTTCAGATCAGGCACACATAGTTTGCCAGGTCATAGTTTTCACTTTCTTATTTTTTTAGAAACTGTGATTTTGGTCAGGTCCTCTGGATTATTATCATGATGAAATATTCCTCTTCAAGGTTCAAGGTTCAGGGAGTCTTTATTATCCCAGTGGGGTAGTTTCCTATGCAGCCAGCAGTAAAAACAATCAATCCATGCAACAATCGCACAGAAACAACAATAAATAGCAAAGAGACAGTAAATAAATAAACAGGAAGTAGATCTACTTGTTCAGCAGAGCAATGGCAGCAGGGATAAAAGAATGCTTGCGTCTGTTAGTCCTGTGTTTTGCCAGGATGTACCTGCGCCCTGACGGAAGCAGCAGGAGCTCACAAGCCAAGTGGTGGCTCTGATCCGTGAGGATAGAACGGGCCTTACTTAAAGTTCTGATCTGATGCAGGGCTGAGAGGTCATTTCGGTTGATCCTTGCAATTTTGCTGCAGTCTTATGATACTCTGCAATCTGTTTTTTATTTTTGAGGGAAAGGGAGCCGTACCAACAAATGAAAGAGAAAGTTAAGATGGATTCGATAAAACTTCTTCAAACATCTTCTGAAACATCTTATGCCAAACTTCTGCAGACTGAGAGTCATCTTGTCAGCCAGTATTTGGTATATCCACAGGTGTTCATGGTGCCATCCACAAATATCATCAACGCAACACCTTTTGCACTCAGGCAGCCCCACATCATCACACTCACTCCTCTGTGCTTCGCTGTCAGGACTGTCTGTTCACTGTGGTAGTTCTGACCAGGTTCATGTCGAGCCCGCTGGATCCAGTTACAGCTGAATAAATGTATGTTGATCTCATTTGATCAAATAATTTGCTCCCAATATTCATCAGGCTTCTTTTCATGTTCTTTAACAAGGTTCATCTGGCAGTTTGGTACCAGAGAGCAAGCCAAGGTTTTTTTCTTGGATTCTTTGTCCATAGAGGTTGATGCCATGTCATGTCTTTCACAGACAATTTTGAGTCTTTTGACATCTAAGTGATATTGTCCACTGTTGGACTCACTTCTGGTGTGTACTGTACATAGCTTGAATGATACAGACTATTTTCCAGTGTCTGTCAGAGTTTGACATTTGCTTAACATGTTTTGCATTTTAAAACAACTTTGAATTAAATTTTTATGTGATATGATTTCTTTCAGTTGGTTGTGTTCTGTTCAGTTTTTCTTGTAACAGCATTGTTCTTAATATTACCACCAGATGGTTCTTAATATTACCACCAGATCGTTCTTAATATTACCACCAGATCGTTCTTAATATTACCACTAGATGGTGACATAGTAAGGTGTTCTCACACCTACACATGCTGTCTGTAAACTATAGAATTTAAAAAGAAAAAAAAAGCTTTGATCAGACATTTTAGCTTCATTTGTTGTGTGAGCTCTTGGGATGTGTGCTGTTTTTGTGTCTCCATACCTGAGAGCTGATCCAGCAGGGAGGCCTGATCAGTGACTGTAAACCAGCGCACAGCCAGGCTGCTGCGCCGTCTGACCTCTGGCGTCAACTTGTTGTCCGAGTTGTGAGTTGGATGAAGGAAATCCATCAAATCTCCTCCAGGATAGAACTTCCTCCACTGGCTCTGCCTCGCTGTTAACACAATCGATGCATCCGTAAAGAAACAGTGAAGAAAACTTTTTTTTTTTTTTTTTTACTTTGTTTACGGTCAACTAATATATCCGTTACTACATTCTTAGTAAATGTGAAGAATGGGCAGTGAGGAGCATATTAAAGTGCTGATGCTGATTACAGTCAACAACATTCTCTTATACCATGAGAATCATGATTCACTGCTCACACTTTTACTCTTAAAGTGATGTAAAGTGCTGTACTGGCCTCCTATACTTCATTTCTAAATGTATGAATTTTGCTTCCACCTGTCATGTTATTAAGGTCCAAATGTTGTTTTTGTGCCTTTAGCAAACTTTTTTTTTTTGACAATGAATGCATTTAGTAATGCAAACCTACAGTCCTATATTCCTTCAGCCAAACTTCAGTCACTCTTGCACATATAAGATGCAGATGACAGGCTGGTGTCTACTGACCAGTCTTACATATTAAACTCCACATCCACCTGATGACTGCATTTTTTTACCAGCCCGTTCCTTACTTGCAGCCTCCTTAAATTCCGACAGCGTGGGTTCATATATGTCATAGTAAACTCTGGCGGGGTTGGAGTTGTCGCGGACAAACAGCAAGTCGCTGACGTTTGGATGGATCGAACCTTGCCACAAAGTCAAGCTGAACCTAGAAACCAAATCACCACATCAAAGCACCATCAGATAGCCTGAACACAAACTATGTCTTAGTCCTACTGGTTTTATTTTGTGGTTAAAAAAAAATCTCAAGATTAACCAGGAAACTATTCTGTATGTGAATGATAAATTACTGATTTTCAGTCATTGTTATTATACAGATGTAAGTCATCTGTTACCGTGGTGATTGGCTGAGGAGCCAGCTCAGATGCTGCCAGCCGCTGCGAACCAACATAGCATGGACTGGAAACGTCACCTAGAAAGAAAAACATGCTGATGTTTCACTGCAGACCTTAAAGCTGTCGTTACTGCAGTGTAGATTATTGTCACATATCAGGGTTGAGATCACTGTGATACCTTAGTGCAATGACTGTGAATAAATGACATCGTGATTGTGATGCTGCTATTTATCTACTAGCTAATAATGAACATATCATTAATAGTGAAACGACACATAGTTGTTGTTTTTTTTTTTAAATGCTGCATGGCACAAAAACAATACAGTTAAGCAAGTAGTTGGAGGATACATTCAGCACAGTGAGATATCTTTTTGTAGTTGATGTGTAGAGTAGTGTAAAAACTAGGTTGTAGAGGCTTTAAAAATACAAATATTAAAATGTCTTGTGTATGTTTTGCTGCTTACGTCTTGGGGGCAGTCTTTAACCAAATTATACATGTCTTCCACCATGGCCCGGGTGTAGGTTGCAACAAAAAGTGGAGGAGCATAGGTCACCTGACAGAAACAGAGCAGGTTTAACTGTGAATTACAATCATTCAGGCAAAAATACTGTAGTGCTGAACTGAACTGCTGGATGATCGTATAAAAAGTCTTTGTTGTATGAAACAGTACACACGTTGTAAGAGCTATAGTACGTACTGAAAGTAAAAAAGAAAACGTATGCAATTTGGAAAACAGCTTTTGCCTTCAGCTGTATTAAAACAGTTTATCGTCTGGCTAACATTAAAGCTGCAGTAGGTAGACGTCTGGAAAAAGCAGAATGAAAAGTGAAACTGTACAGCTTTTCCCTCTCTGTTGTAATCCGTTCCCACCACACAAGCACATGTTTCAAATGCATAAAGATAACATTGGGTTACAACAAAATACGTTCTTGAAGGTGTCTAGGATTTTTTAAACTGATTCAGGACATTTTTGCGACGCTAAATCCAACAATGACATCTGCTTTTCTGTATCAGGTCAGGTTTTTATGCCAACTCTATTTAAAAAAGATCAATTTTACCACTAAATCAATGACATTTTTTGACATTAGCGATTGATTTATTTTACGATTTCTCATATGAAATCAGATTTTAGGGGAAATATTTAATTTTCTAATCCTTTTCATAAGCTAAATGATCCAAAAGCTGATGCGCATAAACATTTGTAAAGGTAAATACAAGTAAATTGCATGTTTCATCAAATCAAAATTTTGACCTCATTGAGCAAAACCAAAGTAATATTTGGATTCAGCACATTGTAGTTGTCTAAAATCAGCTCAAAAAACTTTGACATCAAAATGGGTGTGAACTAATGTAATCAAGCTACAAGTCAACATTCATTTGTGGCCCAGGAGTCAAGTCCCAACCTCCCAAGTGAATGTTCTCCATCGAGCTCGTTGCTCCACCACATCCTACTCTCACCACTCTGCTGCTATTAAGACTATCTTACCTGTGAAAAAGTGCTATTTACTGGCTGTGTTTTCTAAAGCCTGTAAATAGAGCTGGTTCCTTTTGATTGGTTTCCGTGATTATTCCAAAGGTGTTCCGAGCACAGTGGGTGGATGTACATTAGCACAGGATTTCTGGAGAAATTTGAATGTCCTCCTGTGTTTGGGCATCGTCACTGCAAAAGCACCTTCAAAGTCCTGCAGCCACTAGATCTTTTAATGATGAACTATAAAGGTGTGGATGATGGAGAATCTCCTGAAACAGTCTTTTCTCACAACAAGTGTTTAGTTTACGCACTGTTTGTTTGCATGGCACATGAGCAGTTGGCATGCTATGCGGTGCGAACAGTCCATGGGGTCACAATTGAAACTACTTTTCTAGTCCAGATGAGTCCACTTACAAGATTCATTTGCACATATGCACAGTAGCTCTTATCTCATGGACTCTTGTAGTTTTGGGGAAATGACTAAATTTACCTCACGAGGACCCAAGCAGACACTTCGATCTGTGCACAAGGTCATCTGCATCTAGGTACCTAATGCTTGTTTTGGACTTGAATAAATGCATGTATGAGTCATGGTGTCACTACTTATAAAACCTAAACTAAACACCTGCTGTATCCTTGACATAAGCTAGACACCAATTGAATCCAGCTGGCCAACCACCTGAGGGAGAGTTTCCCTCATTTCAAGGTTAACAGACTCAGAGTTTTCACTAAACCTGCTTTGTGAAACGGACCCCAGATCTACTGACAAGCATTACCAGAACCAGAACCCTGCCAGCAGCCTGAAAAACCCGTATGAAATGTGCTATTATACTGTATGCAGTGAGCTGACTGCAGCACCTGTCATACCTTCCATCCTGGAGACAAAGTTGCATCCGGAAACTTCTCCTGAACCAACTGGAGAAACCTGAAAAAGGGAAGTACGAAAGAGTGGAACTGCAATTCACGGCATTCACATTCTTTATTTTAATTCTACCAATTTAGTACTTGCCCCCAAAACTCCAGATGTATATCATAATTGTCTTTCAAAACCTACATCTTCTTAATCCAGAAGGGTCTCTTACATGGTTCCATTGACTGGAGGAATGAAGCTCGGTGTGTTGGGACCGAGGAGGATGTCTGCATTAAGCCAAACAGGCCTGTTTAATCTTCCGCTGCTGTTCTTTTGATTGAGCAGGTCCAGTGACAAACCCACTGATTCCAGAGCCTTAAAGTCCAACTTCATGGCTGCAGAGTGACAAAAAAAACATTAAAACCTGTCATTTAGTGAATCTGTTATCAATACTAACCTGATCAGTACCTTTTCTGGAGGCCAGCACAGCATCCAACCACTCGTCAAGAGTATTGTCACTGTAGACGTCAGGAGGGTGAGCCATGATGGGGACGGGCTGCACATCGGGGGTCCCGTAGCCCATCACAGTGACATCAGCCTCCAGGATCATGACATCACCTGGGAGAGGAGAGAGGAGAGAGGAGGGTGCAGGTTCTGTCACATTACATGAGTGTGACGCAGTNGCAGGTTCTGTCACATTACATGAGTGTGACGCAGTATTTCTGTTGTTCACTACAGGGTACAACCTCAAACACTGTAAAAACAAATTGTTTTTTTTGGCTTTTGTGCCGTTATTGATAGTGCAATGAGAGAGAGACAGGGGAGAAGAATGGGGGGAGGACGTGTGGGAAAGGGCCACAAACGGGATTCGAACTCATGACCTCCACACTGGGACTGTAGCCCTGTACATGAGACGCCAGCTCAACCAGGTGAGCTATAGCGGCGCCCAGTAAAAACAAATTTAAAAAAAGAAAAACGAAAGAAAAAGAAAAATCCCATAGCAAAAACAGTGAAAATCCAGAAACAACATGTTATAGTGAAATTGAAAAACTTGTTTAAAAAAAGTAATAATAATAGCAACAATTAGTTTTAATGTCAACGTATAAATAAATACTTTTTTCAAATGTACTTGCTATTATTTATGATTTTTTTTTAAAAACATGTAAAATCTGTTAAAAAAAAAAAGAAATTAAAAAATATATTTACCATATTTCAATCCTTATAAATAAAATTTATTTAAAATAACAAGAAACATTTGTAAAAATAATTATATTTTTTTTCTGATTTGAATATAGTAAAACTGTGTAATGTTACTTGCCACACACCGTAAAAGAACTAAAATATTTAGAATTATTTTTCAATCCCTAATATACACACTTTTCTTTCTAATACTGGCAAATATCTATTAAATAATGATCATTTTTGCTGATTTAAGTACAGTAAAATAGTATATGTTTATGGTCAAATGTTGTCAAAAACACCATTTGCCATTTTTTTCAATAAAAAAAATAATAAATGTAAACATTATTTAAAATGTTGATACTTTTTTGGTGGTGTAACTAGATATTAGCTGTAATTTACATAAAACAGGGGACAATCTTTTTTTACAGTGAGAAATGGTTGAAAACCTTCATTCTTTCACAGTGTAGCTGCAGTGACAAACATCTTCAAAGTAAAGTACACTGTGTGTGTGTTTACTTGCGAGAGCTTTGTTCATCTCCTCCTTGTTGTTGGCTCTGTGATACCAGGTAGCAAACAGGCCGTCAGGTTCATTGATTTCACCTTCCTGAACCAGGAAGTCCAGCATGTCTCCTCCAGGTGGAAATGAGGGAAGACGAGCTGGAGATTGTATGATAAGACAAAGACAAGCTCATAAGTACAAGATTGTAAAAGCATGTGACAAACAATGACAAGTCTCGCTTCAAATGCAAAAAAAATACCAGAATATATGATAAATGGGATTCCATATTTTGTTATGTTTGGCATAATTTTGACTGCTTCTTATTCCAATTTAACTCTGCATGTTGCCAGTTCTGGGAAACTTAAAATTAAACTAAAACTAGAGCGCACTGTCTTAATTTTTTCATAACTTTTGGTTATTAATGGCAGAATGAGTTGTATCAATTCCCTTCCTGTTTTCACACAGTCTCAAAACTCTAGTCGAAACAAGACACTCTCACTTCCCTATCCCCTATTCCAAAGCTTTTGTTACACTGCCAGGAACACAGTACACCTTATCCTTAACTGCAATGTAAACAGGAAAATACAAAAGACAAGACCTCTGTGGCTATATCGGAAATTACAGCAATTTACAATTTATTAGCGACTGTTGTCGTGGTTATTCATACTCATTAACTTACACACTGACGCACAAACAAATGTTTCCCTCCATATGTAATCATCTTACAACAGTGTAATAATCAGAACACTAGACAAATAAACAGATAATGTGTCGATGATGTGTTTCTAGTTGCTCTTCAGGTCACATGTGTTGAAACTCTTTAGCAGAGGATGAAGGTGTTCATCACACTTCTGTGTGCAGCCCAAGTTCACAAGAGTCTGCGTTGGCCCCTCCAGTTATCCAACATTACAAGGGAAATAATGCGCATGCTCAGTAGTCGTGTGTATGCTTTGAATATATAGATATGATCCACTACATCTCTACTGTACAGATCACCATTTCATCCTAGAAGAGTAGCTGTATAGTATAACAGTAGAATCCTCTTGAATGTTGTGCAGGTCTCATCTGCAGTTACCACAACATCTTGTTTGAGGTGACCAAGGGAGGTTCAACCAGTACAGTAAGGTTCATTTTCTTTTTCCACCTGGACTGTGAACATTTAGTGGCTGTCTTACATAATACAGTGATAACTGTAATACCTGTGGTCAATATGAAATCCACGGCTGCAGTTGCCTCATGATGAACATAGGATGCATTATCAGATTAAATTGACTCGTGTGTTATCACATGAACCTTGAACACTAATCAAACAAATCTTTGAGTCATATAAAGGGCAATGTCAAGTTATGATGTGATGATGTTCAGATTACAGGAGCATGTGCTAAATATAAACATGGAGACAGGCTTGCTCAATATGGAGAGACACAACTGTTGATCTCAGCTGTTACTGTATGTGGACAGATGGGTCTTTGATTATTTATGTTGTGGGATTTTTCAAAAGCGATGTTCTGCTGGACAAACAGTGCTGATTCACCTCACTTAGGGCTTCACAGTCATCGAGAAAGTGTGACAATATCTGTATATGACTGCAAAACAATTTAGTTGCATAATTTAAAGGTAAATGCCCCAGTTTGTTCTAAAAAGCACACAAGGATTGTGCAGGATTTTTGAATCCTGCTTGAAGTGGAAATAACTATTGGAACCAGAGGAGATTGTTAAAAAGATCCCTCAAATTAAGTTACAGGGTCGCAACCCTAAACCCAACATGAACAAGCATGTGCTCTATAGATTGGAGAGACGCAGTAATGATCTCTGTTTCTATCACCAGGTCAAGTGAGATCTAAAAAAGATTTGAAAAACTCCAGGAAAACCTGACATTCTTACTTCCAGCTGCTTAAAACTTGAAATAAGAGAGTAAAGAGCCTCAAAACAATCAGTTAGTACAAAATTCATTAAACATGTTCTAAATAAAATCTCAAATTTAGCTTTAACAAACTTGATGCAACCAAATTGTAAGATGATAATGATGCTTTTATTTTGTGCCGCTCTTTGCAATGTTCAAAAAACATTGGTAGGTTGCATATTTTTCTAACACAGCCAAGTGAGAGACCTCCAGGGTGAAAAGGATTAACCTATTTTTCTTTTCTTTTTTATATGAACTGCACGTGTAGTGTAAATATCTTGAAGAACGTACCTTTCTTTGTGGTCAGCACAACACTGACAGTGATGATAGCAATAAGAATGACAGCTCCAACAACCACAGCGAGCAGGATCAGGAGTCGTTTGGTTAGACAGCCCAGATAAAGGTCTTCTTCTTTGTCTTTGCTGCTCCTTTCCCCTCTCCGGGTGTCCTCGTCTTTTGCCATCTTCTTCTGCCTGGTCTTTCTACTGGATTTAAAACTCACACAGTGTCTGGAAGACAAATGAGCTGATGTTTGTCTTCTTTTATATGAGCCTTATCTAAAGAGCAGAGACCACAGTCGCTCTGCTGATAAGAAGCACATGCTCTCTTCAGCCTCCCTTCAATGCCTCTCATTCATCCTTGACACCTCCACTTATCTAAGGTCAAGATTAAAGCAGGTATGAAACACGGGTCGCGTTGCAGAGTGTGTTCGGTATGCTTTTGCCTCAATAGCATTTATTAAAAACAAACAGTCATGATTGCACTTTACTGTTGTTCCTGCTTGTGTCTGTTTGTTATAAATACATTACTGTGACATTCTCCGTCCATGTGTTGAAGTCAGTGTGCAGGGTCAACTATGATAAGGCACCTCTGGAGCTGGCTCGCTGTTTTGGGTAGAAAACAAACATTTAAAACCATAACTTAAAACAATAAGTACTTTGACAAACAATGATATTTTGGGGTGAATAAACCTTTAATACTGAATCGTGCTCATTAGGAATTAGTATTTGGGTGGGAAAAAACTTTAAAACGTTAAGTGCGAAAGGGAAAGTAGTATCTTTGGTGGAACAGACCTTTAAAACTTTAAGTACGTGGATAGAAAGTAGAGTTTTAAGCTTTACCTACTCAGGCAGGATGTAATGTTTTGGGTGAAATACAACTTTAAAATTATAGGCACTGGGACAGAAAATAACATTTTGAGTAGAATGAACCATTATAATGAAAGCTTGCTCATTAAAAAAAATACAATTTGGATGGAGAAATAAAATAAAGTGTAAGTACTCTGAAGGAAAGGAGTGTTTTTGTTGGAACAGAACTGTAAAACTTAATGCATCTACTTAGGCAGGATTGTATTTTGGGTAGAATTAAAATGTAAAAAATTGTCGTAGTTGGACAGAAAATTGTATTTTGGGTAGAATAAAACTTCAAGACAATAATTTAAATCCACTACTTCGGCAGGGGGCGCTGTTGTGATAAATAACGGTCCTGAACCTGCAGCTTCCGTATACCGGTACGCAGCGTCACGTTGCCATAGCAACAATAGTAGCGGGACACCAGTAGCTTCAGCAACATCAACAGCGACTCTACAGTAAAATGTCCAACTCCAAAGAAGACAGAAACAAGAAGAGGACTCTGGTTCTGAGGCCGTAAGTTGACAAGTTTTCAGAGAAACTCATTTTTTATCAACCCGGTCTCTGTAAACACACATGCTAACCGCTAAGCTAACTCGCTGCTCTGCCGCCCTCCAGCTCCTCTCGGGCGGCGAACGTCTCCGTGTCCGGCCATCATGGAGTGAACCTGAGCTCCAGACTCACCAGCAGCAGGAGGAGCCTCAGTCTGGGAGGAGGCAGCAAAATCCTGGAGAAGAGCCACGTCCAGACTCCCAGACAAACTGTCCGGGTAAGAGGTCCAGTTCATGACTTCAGCGAGTATCCACGTCCGTTACTCAGACTAACAGCGCGCTGTTGTCCAACTGCTAAACGAGTAAAAGTTTTCAGTTAGAGACGTTACTTCAGCAAAAGTATGTATTTAGTAAGTAGAATCAGGAAAATGTGCTTAATCTTCTATATTATGGATATTACTTAACTATTCATGTTTGAGCATTTTGTTTTAGTTGTTCAAAGTAAATTACTGACGATTCTGTAAGAAGGACTTCAGCAACTAATATATTTGTTTCTGATAATATGCTGTTTATTTCCTCAGTTAACTACCCATTTCATTTGTATGTAAAAAAAATAAATAAATACAGTAATAAGTGCCACCCTAGTGTCCATGCCTCAGAATTATCAAAATAAATACAAATTATTATTATTTTAAAGCATCAAATTATCACACTATAGAAAAAGAAAAGTAACATGTTTCAAATAAAAAACACTAATTGTTACGGGGATTATCAAAACATGACAAATACAAATATATAAGTAGTGTAATGTAATGTAATTTAATTGAAATGTATTTTAATTATTGATTAATCTGCTGTTTATTTTCTCAGTTAAGGTTCCATGTGGTTGGTAGAAAAAACTGATAAAGTCCAACTCCTTTTGCTAAGTGGTCAGTTGTTCTTCTGTTTGCTGCAGGTGTTTGATGAAGATGGGAACGACGTCACTCCTCAGCCGCTGTATCAGGCAGATCCAGGAGCAACTCAGGCCAAAGGCAGCAGGTTCTTTGTGGATGAAATCTCTGCTGGATCAGCATCAGATCAGACCACAGCCACAGGAAGCTTCACCATGCAGTTTGCCAGGTACTACAGTATCTATCTATCTATCTATCTATCTATCTATCTATCTATCTATCTATCTATCTATCTATCTATCTATCTATCTATCTATCTATCTATCTATCTATCTGTAAAAATACACTCTGACATTGTTTTCCAGATCAGTATTTGGAAGCAGCAGAATATCCAGCCAGTCTACCATAGAATCAGTGAATGAGGAGATGGAGGACACATTTTCCAAACGAGACCTGCCCATCCCAGGTTCATTACAATAATATACTCTCCAGTCTGTTGTCTACTCCCTAAATGCTGCAAAATCCAGTGACATCTCAGCTCTCTGTGTTGTGGCAGGTAGCTGCAACATATCTTCTGTGATATTTGATTAAAGATTTGTCTTTTTATTTCTCTGCCAGACGTGAAGCTGAAAAAAGACACAGTGAAAGAACAGGTGACAGAAGATATGTTGAAAGAGATCGTAGACGTCGTCCTCACTGAGACAGACACCATCTCACTGCTGGACATACCCAGCACCTTGGTCTCAGTGGATGCTGATGACGCAGATGCTGTCATGTGAGTGAAGCCCATTACTTCCTGATGTTTTTAACAGTTTGACAAGAGTCAAATTGTGTACAAAGCCAGCTTTGAGTGGGAAAGATGAAACACTTGTTCTAAATGTCTGTGAAGATTCTCAGTCATCCAGGTCATGGTTATTCTCGTGGATTAATGGTAGCAACTGGACTTGCTTGAGTTCCTTGAAGACGTTTCACCTCTCATCCAAGAGGCTTCATCACTTCTGACTGACTAGTTGGGAGTTCCAGATACTTATATCCTTAAGGCTCCATTAACACCTGAGTTTCAGTTTCAGTTGGGGGTTGTTACTCCTCCCCCCCGTTATGTGAGTTGTTAGTGCGCCTGCCACAGTGGGGTTCGTTAGAGTCTTTTGTGGCTAGGTGTGAATGTGGTTTCATCTTCCTGGGGTGAGATCTTCGGACTGAATTGTGAACAGGTGAGCGATGATGCCTCAGACCTCCACCTCTGTTGAGGGATGATCTTTCCAGTTTGACATAGGTGGCTTCTTTCACCCCTCTCTCAAAACATCCATCCTCCCTGCAGGCCAAAATCTGTACGTTGTTGTCTTCAAATGAGTGTCCTTTGTCTTTAAGATGCAGGTGGACTGCTGAGTCCTGTCCTGAGGAGCTGGCTCTTCTGTGCTGAGCCATGTGCTTGTGAAGTGGTTGTTTTGTCTCCCCAATGTACAGGTCTTGGCATTCCTTGGTGCACTGGACTGCGTACACCATGTTGCTTTGTTTATGTCTCGGTGTCTTGTCCTTAGGGTGAACCAGTTTCTGTCTCAGGGTGTTGGTGGGCTTGAAGTGAACTAGAATGTTGTGTTTGTTAAAAATCCTCTTGAGCTTTTCAGAAACTCCTGAAACATAGGGGATGACTATGTTGTTTTGTTTCTTGGTCTTTACTTCTCTGTCTCCTCTGGGTTTTGTAGAGGATTTGATGAAAGACCATCTTGGGTAGCCACAGGTTTTAAGCGCTGTTTTGATATGCTTTTGTTCCTCCTCCTTTCCTGTTGTCCTGGTAGGCACGTTCTAAATAGACTGACTGGGACACACATCCTGTCAAATCTGTCAATGAATAAGTTAAAAGCGTATATTCTTGCTTGGTTGTAACAAGCTGTTGTCATCTCCGCCCTGTTTCCACAGAGAGCGAAACAATCAGTATGCTGAGCTTTGCAGGAACAAGATGGGTAACGATAAGTATGTCGATCGATCGATGCTGACACTCAACGGAGCAGCTAAAAACAAACATGTCCAGACTGACAGCGTGGTCATGGTGGATGCAGGTTAGTCTCTGTTGATCTGTGCCACTTTCCTCAGTAATGATTCATACAAATGTGTAGACGCTTATGAGGCAGGCCGATTTACCATCAGGAAGCTACAATAATTCATTTTAGGCAGCTTAAATTAAACATCAGGTAGACAAAGAGTGGTAGCTTTCTTCTGGTTTATATATAGATAAATAATTATTAACTATTTATCCATTAGCTTGAGCTAACTGCATGAAGTATTCATTCATGACTTTTAGCCACAACTCCTGAATCCCTTTATTTAATACTGTTACGTGCAGAGTGGAGGATTTGTGTGTGTGCATGTGTGTCTCCCTCTCACCTCTCTCCTACAGGTAATTATTGGAAGATGGGCCGAACCTGTGGATTTCCTGTTGCTGCCACCTGGGAGCTCCTGAGGAGTGGCTGATTGGCCCGTGCTTTGGCTGGTTATCCAATCAGTTGGAGGATTCTCCTTTATAAGCCCTCATGCTCCATTGTTCACTCTCTGCCTCCTGTCTGCTGTCATTTCACATATTGCTGTCAGTAGTTGAAGGTTGGTGGTAGGAAGGTGGTCAGCAGAGGTAAGATTGGGTACCCTATACATGCACACACGTAGTTCACTTTGTTATGTTCACTAGGTTATGGGTTGTTGCCACTGTGTAAGTTTTGTTTTGCTGTCACTTTTAGAGAAAACAGCCAGGCCTTTTGTTTTCATATTCTTTTTCATTCAGAAAGATTTGAGTTAGGCCCTGTTTTATTATATTTATTTCTTTGATTTGGCACGACCCCACAGCTGACCCTTCCCCCCACACTTTCCTCAACCTTCATTTTGTTGTTTATTTAATTTATTCAACAATTGTAAATAAATAACTTATTCACTGCCATTCACTCTCTTGTGAGTTCTTCCCTGTTGACAGAAGGGTTACGTACTGTAAGCAGGAACGTAACAAATACTTTTATTTGATGCTTTTCATTCTTTACTGTTCCATACTTTCAGTTTACCGTTTCAGCTGTTCCATCCATGACTTGTAGCTATTTTAACAACAACCTTTAGCTCGCTGATTCAACACTTTATTTACTAATAACAGCAATTTCCAGTACTTGAAGTATTTTTTATTTTACTTTGACATTTATTTATACCATTAATCCAGCAGTTGGCTAATTACCTCAGCTATTTATTCATTATTTGTTTCTAGCTATTTTATCTATTTAGCCATAATGTTTGGCATACTTTTTAATCTTTTAATTCTATTTAATCTTTTTAATTTGCTTTTAGTTTATTATTTCAACTTGTGTTTAATTACTTCAAACTTTTTTTTTTTTTAACCTTTTAGGCTCTTTTAAGCAAATGATTTTAACAATTTTCCAAACATTTGTTCACGTGTAGCTTTTAGACCATGACTTTAGTAAACATTTTAGCCATTTATTCAGTACTTTCAGCTGTCTGTTTCACCTGTTTATCCATTACTTGCTGTTATTTTAACATTTTACCAATTTTTTAAAAATCATTTATTTAGTTTTAGCTTGTTCTTCATTACTTGAACTATTATTTTTAATTGCTTTAATATTTATTTTAACCATTTATCCAGCACATGACAATTTATTTGCACTCTTTAACTGTTTACGTACTACTTTAGGCTATTTTAACCATTTATTGACCACTTTTAACTGGCCATTTCAACAATGTATGCATTACTTTTAGCAATTTAACCTATTCTTGTCATTCAGCTACATCTATTTCAACCATTTATCCAGCAGACTACTTTTAGCCCATATCTACCAGAAAAGTTAAAGTTAAATCTTTTCATGTCTCCATGTCCACAGCTGCGACTGTTACCACCTGGGACATGTATGACACCCTGTGCAGCCCTGAGCAGGAAGAAACAGTTGGGAGACCCCAACCAGAGATGTCAGATTACCAAGAAGCTGTTATGGACTCCAGCAGAGCTGCAGAGAGGAGTGTGTCGGTGGGCAGCACAGTCAGTACAGGTAACAGTGAAGGATGCCAAGTGTGGAGGGGATGTTATTCTGTAATTAATACTTAACTTATTGTTCAGTGTTTTCTTTTTCATAATTTAGAACTTAGCTGATATGGAGTCTTACAGCTTAAACTTCTTTTACTGTTTATTAGGGCTGTTTTTTATTTATTTATTTATTTTTATCACCAGACATGTTATATCTCATACATATTTCCTCTTCAGTCAGTGCTTCCAGCTCAGTAAGAGACGTGGATGCATCTGGAAGCACTTCAAACACTGAGTCGGAGTGGCAGCTCATCATGCTGTCAGAGAGCTTCCAGCACAGCTTACTGGTGATGGAGAGGTGCATCTTGCGAAACAACTTCCAACGTCAGCTGGCTGCTTACAGACAGCTGCCTGTACTAGAAGGTAACCTCAGCCTGTACTGCCTGATACTATACATATACTCACTTTTATTGTCTCCGAGCCTTGAAGGCAAATAAAGTGATCATAGGTACTAATGGACAAATCAATACGTATGAATGTAATGATTTTTCCAGACCCAGACTGTCCAGTGAAGCCTGAGACTGTGGAGCAGAGAGAGGAGAATACAGACGACTCTCAGTCTCCAGCCCTGCAGTGTCTCTGGGCTTTCAGCTGTGAGCTGAGCAGAGGACGTAGCATCAGCAGCTTGGCCTGGAACAAGAAGAACCCGGTAACTGAGAATAGAGAACAACTACTCTGAACTACAAAGGCAGAGAGCAGCAACTACAGAAACAGTGACGATGAAAAGAAAGAGTTTAAAGTTTGAGGATTCTTGGCCAACAGAAGTTAGAAAATTGCAGTTTTGTATTAATCACTGTCTCTAGCTTTTCACAAAATCTAAAATATAATAAAATACTGAATCTAAAAGGTGCAGGTAAGACATAGTGTATACAAACACAATATGTTTCATGCTCATTGAAATTAATGATCTAGTTTGATAAATTAGTTTTTTTTAATAAAATACTATTTAATGGTAGCTTAATAAATAAAATCAGATACATTTCACTGGAGTCAGAGGCTGTAGTTATTGCTGGTCTGCCAATCTAGGTCAATTAGCTTTTTGCAGCTGTAGTTTTACCTTTTTTCTCCATTTCTTTAGATTTAGCTGCTGCATTATTTGTGATACAACAAAGTGAAGTGTGCAGATGTTGGAATTGTTTTTTAAATATAAGAAACAGGACAAAGTAGGTAGATTAGTTTAGCTGAGGCTATCTTATTCAATTCAATTCAATTTTATTTGTTTAGCACAGTTTACAACATGTTATCACACAGCTCTTATCATGGTAAGGTATAGACATTACAAATTTAAACAGAGAACCCAGCAGTCCAAAGCAGCCTTTGGACTACTGAGCAAGCGGTTGGCAACGGTGGGAAGGAACCAAAATTATGAGCTAGCTGGTACGAGTTCAGTCACAGCTCTTTAGGTTTTACATGCTTCTACATTGCCTGTCATGCATTTTTGTTGCTGTGAAAAAAAGAGAGTTTGATTTTCACTTCCAGGACCTAAAGTCAGACTAACTTTGACTCTTCGCCCTGTCATGTTTAGTGTTGGTGCTGAAATGTGTAAAAAGCCTGATTAATACTGTGCCTCTCCTTTGTATGGAACATGCACATCATCATACTGCATAGTCTTGCATGCTGATATAAATTCAGCATTACAAATGAATGCTAACAGACTAGGTGCTGCTCTTGCTGACACTTTTACTACACTGTTGACGAACATTTACTTTTGTGGCTCTACCGTTATCTCCTTTGTGTAAAATGTTGATGCATGTCCCTTCACTTAAACATGTCTGCATGTGCTGTACTTTCTGCACTAGGACATCCTGGCTGTGGGATATGGTCAGTTTGACTCCGGGGACCAGAAACAAGGTCTGGTGTGTTGCTGGTCCATCAAAAACCCCACGGTATGACTTTGTCTAGACACTGATTTACTTTCCCTAAACTTCATCTGTCATCTTCCTGAGTCTGATAGCTCCTCAACAGCACGCAAGTTGTTGAGTGAGGATTTACACTTCCTACTAAAAGTATTTAACACTCTTGGAAGTTTTCTTTTTTAGTACCTTTTAACATTGAATTGTGTTCAGTGATTCAGTTAAATCAACACAGGTACAGGAGTTGGTGCTACAAATCACAATTAATGAAATGAATCATCTGAGTACAGTATATGATGTGTCTCAAGGGACTGTGTTAAAAAGACACCTGTATCTGGCAGGTCCAGTCACTGGTGAATCAGTGCTCCTGCCTATAACTACACCATGAAGACAAAACAACACTTCAGGCAATTCAGTAAAAAGGTTATTAAAAAACACAAACCAGGTGATGGACACAAGTCACTGAATATCACTTGGAGTACAGTTAAATCTATAATTAAAAAATGAAAAGAATATGGCACATGCATTATTCTGCCTAGAGCAGGTCATCCTCAAAAACTAGTAAGAGAGGCTACCAAGGCACCCATGGCTCCTCTACAGGAGTTTCAAGCTAGTATTCACCAGCTTGCTGCACAGTGGGGATGGTGTGTTCAGTGTCCACCAAACATAGCTTCTAGTCTGATGGCCAAGAAGCTCAATTTTGGTCTCATCAGATTAAGAATCTTCTTTGAGTTGACTGCAGTCTCTCACATGGCGTCTAGTGAACTCTAGTCGAGATTTACTTTGAGCTTCTTTCAACACTTCATAAAGCTTTGACTGGTGAAGAACAGGCAACAGTTATACAACACTATGCACAGTCACCCTAATCTCAGCTGCTGAAGCTTGTGCCTCCTTCAAAGGAGTCATGGGGTTCTTTGTGGCCTCCTTCACTAGTCTCTTTCTTGCACACACTCTCTCAGGTTTTGAGGATGGCCTGCTCTTCATTTCACTAATTGTGTGACTTCTAGCCCTAATTTGCTTCATCTGTGTTGACTCAGGTGAGAGGCTTTAAAGGGGGTCAATACTTACACAATCGCTTATTTTATGTTTTATATTTTTCATTGACATGACTTTGTAGAAATCTGTTTTCACTTTGACATGAATGAGTCTTTGTTTTTCTTTGTAAATTCTTGTCAAAATTGAACTTAAATTGACCCTGATTCAATGTTGAAAAGCAATAAAAGGGGAAACATCCAAGAGGGGTGAATCCTTTTCATAGGCACTGTAGTTTGTGTGTGATTGCCATCCGTTGTCATGTGTCTCCTCCTGCAGTGGCCTGAACGTTTCATCCACTGTGACAGCGCTGTGACTGCTCTGGATTTCTCAGCCAACAGCCCCAGTCAGCTGGCTGTGGGGATGCATGATGGCAGCATAGCCATCTATGACCTGCAGAATCAAGACAGCAAGTCAAGTGTCATCAGCAGCCGGTGAGGACTGCGTGTGCGTGGATAGTGCAGCTTTTCCATCACACACAGTAAATAAATGCTCACGTTGTTGGTCTCGTTTTGTCTCTCTGTGCAGTCAATGTCCCGACAAACACTTGGGTCCAGTGTTTCAGCTCAGGTGGATCCAACAGGAGCTGAGCTTAGAATCTCTCTTCTCTGTGGGTGCGGATGGCAGAATCTGCAAGTGGTTTGCCTTCAGCGGTGGCCTTGACTGCACAGGTACTGTACTCAGCATCATGATGTGGCTTTGAGAATGTCCGTTTAGCAAACACATAGATCCAAAGGTAAGCGAAATGGTTCTGTAACCTGTTTACAAAATCTCTGTGTGAGTAGTTTTTGAACACACATGTCATCCAGAAGTCTAAGGAATTTATAAGATCTACTGGACACAATAGCGTTATTCAGCTTCAGTTCTGTATTTTGTGTATGTTTTGTCAAATTGGAAAATTTGAAAAAATAAAATATTCATAAAAATGTGTTGTACCGAACTGCTGACGTGTACAATCTCTTGTTAAATGTGCACGTATTCAGTGGTTTCTTTGACTGTAACAAAAACATTCAGAACAATAAAAATGCATTAACTGTACAACATCTCTTTCCACAGACCTGATGAGGCTGAAAAGTGCTAATAAGAAAGGGAAGACCAAAGAAGATTATCTGTCACTACTGAGTCCTGGTCTCTGTTTTGACTTCCATCCAATAGTAAGTTGTCAATAGCAATTTGTTAGATCATTGCTGGTTTCCACTCAGCGCACAGTCTATGTTCTTGAGTTACAGAAACTGAAATCACTGTTTTTGTTGTTGTATTGCTTCCTTCTGCAGGACCCCAGAATCTACCTGACGGGTACATGGGAGGGTCTCATCCACAAGTGTTCCTGTTCCAACAACCAGCAGTTTCTGGAGACTTACAAGAAACACTTTGTAAGTTTTTTGTCATGATTTAAGCCCCCACCTCCTTCTGATAAAGCCTGCAGCCTTTATGTAATGCTCCAAACTAACTGCAGTGTGAGCTTGTAAGATCTATTACCAACAATGCATTTCTTATGGACTCTTTCAGCTGTTTCCCTCTGCTACTACACGTGTAACTTAAGTTTTTCAAGGTTTTGTTTACAGTTAAGAGTAAGAGCAGCGTTTTCATGAAGAGGTCCGTGTATCACAGTTTTTTCTTGTAAACACTCAATAACATAGAAGCACTGTGCAGAAGTAAAATCTTTTTTTTCTCAATTAAATGTGAATTGCTGTAAAACTGTCAAGGATATGAGCAGAATCTAGTTCATTATAGGTCATGTATATCAGTGTAGGGTTTTAACAAGAGTCATCTTTTCAGCTTCAGACAGTGTTTGACTTTTTTTTTACCAGCAGGAGGCAGCAGCTCTTTACTGGCTAATACAAACTCCTCCATTTGGATGTGAAAGGAATGTGGATCTGTCAGTCTTTTTGCAGAGTATATTGCATGTGTATTGTTTGCATTTTAAACAGCACCAGTTCTCCAAGCTGCTTTGGACTCAGTTTTCCAAGGTGGTTTTTGACTAGGTTTCTTCAGCATCCTTGACAACTTGCCACAGTTGTGAATCACAGTGCTTCTGTCACTTCATGTAGTAACAGACTGATTCCATGATGCTGCAATCAGGGCTCTGTTTTTGAAAGGATTTTAGTTCAGTTTTGAACTTGATTTTGGACTGTTGTTGAACTTAGTTTTGTAATGGTTTGGACTGAGTTTTGGATTGGCTTTGAAATTGGTTTTGAACTTGGTTTTCAATTGGTTTTAGACCTGGTGTGGACAAGATTCAAGGTCTTTTGTTGGTCACAAATACATACATGGCATAATGCGCAGTGAAATGCGTTGGTGGACTGGTAGACTGGTATTGGACTAGTTTTGACCTTGGTTTTGTGGTGACTCTAGACTTAGTTTTGGACTGGTTTTACACTGGCTTTGTGCTGGTTATGGACTGATTTTATCCTGGTTTTGGACTTGGTTTTGTAAATTCTTTGGACTTGGTTGACTTGAAATTTAAAAACAATTTATCCTGGGAAAAAAATAAATCAAGCTAAAGTTTCTTAGATACCATTTAAAAAATCTGTTTAGGATAAATACGTTTCAAGCAAATCAAAAATGGGTGAGCGGAGGCCCCCTGATGATTTTAGAGGAATAACCCGAAAGTAATCTTACATTTTTTCTGTCTCTCTAGCATTCCCTTTGAATTTTTAAGATTTATTGGATGCTTGTAATATTTTTTGTTGTTGCAAAAAACAGAAATTGAGTTTCTTGCTTGATGTTAAAGCTGAATTCTTTGACCATTCATTGTTGTCCTGACATATGTTCGGCCAAAGTGTTGAATAATCAGAGACAAACTGAGTGATATTGACATGTTGCTTCCTCTCAGTGTTCTGTAAACTGCATCACATGGAATCCTCTCAGTCCTGATGTGTTCCTGAGCTGCTCCGCTGACTGGACCATCCAGCTGTGGAAGCAGGACCAGCTGAAGCCGGTGTTGGGCTTCACCTCCACCCAGCAGGCCGTGCACGATGTCAAATGGTCCCCAAAGTGGGCCACGGTTTTCGGAGTTGTTAATGAGGGACAGCTGGAGATCTGGGACCTCAATTCAAGCATGTGAGTCGGACTAAGAGAAAGAATCTGACTGCTTTCTTCTCTGTTTACCTCAGTTTGTCTCTCTGATGTGTCCTGTCCACCTCTGTCCTTCAGTGAGGAACCAGTTATTGTGCAGCCTGCTGCCCCTGGAGTGACGATGACATCCCTGCTGTTTGCCAGACAGACAGACTGTGTTGTAGTTGGAGACAGTGATGGACAAGTGACCGTCTACCAGGTCAAGAACCTCAGCGTGGGAGTAAGCAGCCAGGTGAGACAGAGGAACAGGTGGCCTGTTAGATAGTTTGGCAAATACTCAGGGTAGCAGCTTCAGTGAGGGGTAATGTCATGCTACTGTCTGTGTTAATCTCCACCAGAAGACACACAAACAAAATGTTCTGAAAATGCCTTTCTGGATCTTTTCTTTCAGGTGGGTGTTCTGCAAGACCTCCTGCGCTCTGCAGCTTCCAGATAACTTTAAGAAACAGACAGATGTATACCTAATCCATTTGCGTCTGTGCTTGTAAGAGACTTATCCGTATGAAGAAGTTAAAGTACATGTGTAAGTCGCATGTATAACTGCCATGCAGAAACTAATGACAGGAGTATGACAGCAGAGATTACTGACATATATCCAATGTATGCATGACAAAAGTGTCAATCACAATCTCATAATTTCTTAGCCTTTTATTCTTCAGTTCAAAAACAATCTCTGTGGCAACAACCATCTTATCAAATTACAAATGATTAGATAGCACTTTCCCAAAAAGACACCTGCGATGATCACCTGTAACCCACAATGATACATTCATAAACATTCATATAGCTTATAGTATGACAGTAACAGCACAATTTCAAATTGGAGCATCATTTGCATAGCGAGATTAGCATGTATGTTGCAAGACACAAAAACAATAAAGAAGAGAATCCATAGGTGAACAGAAGAAACACTGCTAAACACAAATAGAATAATTTCCCTTTCTGAATGACTTTAATCAACCACCTTTTTGGATGCCAAAATTATTTCTGGCAAACAAAAACATCCCCCAAATGTTTTATTAATATTATAATTGTTAAGATTTGAAAGTGTATGTGCCTTGTTTAGTCTAACTCTAATTTTTACTTTTCTATATGTATAAAACTGTTCACATTCTGTTTTTGTTTTTTTTCAAAATAAACACATACCATTGATATAATGAGTTACATTTCTTTGTCTAAAACATTAAGTATATTAAGTTTCTAATAATAAAGTGCATTTGCTGTTAGGAGTCACATGGCTCTGTTTCCAAATGTAAAACCAAATATAATATGAAGTCCATAAACTACATGTTGATATATTCAAACCCATAATGAAGAGGCTTGAATTACAGTACATGTCACCACATCAAGTCATGTATATTCTCTGGTCAGTGATCATAATGCAAATCATCACCTCAAAGGGGGGTTTGATCCCAATATGTGACCTATATGACACCAAAATCCTCTGAGTCTCTGGCACAGGAGGTTTGCAGCAGCATTAGTCAACATGTGGGGATGATGTGATCCAAACCAAAGTTAATGTAAGTGTTGATATTCCATTGCCTGTCGGTGAAAATTCCATTTTTGTTCAATTATTAACACAATGTAAGTAATATGCAAAAATCAGCGGAAAATCACTGTTTGGTTTAAATGCAGCAATACACGGGATATGATTTATTATGAGCCAACCACTCACCAGGATAGGCGTAGGAATTGGGTGTGATGCAAGCTGAGCATTGGCTCTGTTGACATGGAACGTAAGCTTGACATGCCCAATTAGAACAAGATACAACAACACTCAAAGCGACAAAAAGAATTCTAGAAAGTTGGTAACAGAGCATCAAGAAAGTATTAGGGAGATGTGTTACGTTACATTGGCCATGCTGTGCACTTGTGCCTGTATATTCTGAAGATGAATTATGGTGTCAGTCCTTTTGTCATACGTTGGTTGAGGTGACCAGTGATCCACAATTTTGATGTAGCCCTTTATATGTTTCCAAAACTTTGAGATGACTCTACAGAACTGCTGCTTCTGTCGGACCCTGTAGCAGTGAATGTGTCAGACAGGTAATTCAAAGGTTTGTCAGGGTTGGTAAATATTTAAGGCCTAGTCATCCACGGCTTGTTAAAGGAGAGCTGATCCACTTTTTGACCGCATCATCAGCTGAGTTGACTTTATCCAAAGGCTGGAGTTCAGTGAATGCTAAACAGACTGAGGCTGAAGGGACTGTAGAAAGAGGCAAACTGTTAGCAAATATTAAGCGAGAGAAAGAAGGATTTGTTTCAGAAACCAAACAAAAACATAGACACTAACCTCTTAATCTGTGTGGCCGAGGAGGAGGAACTTCGTACCAGTTTTTTAGAAGATGAAGATGGCGAGAGGGAGAGGGGTACTTTAGAGGACTTGGGTGGAGGGAGGATGGAGCAGTGCGTGGCCTTGGACAGGTTTAACCTGAATGAGGAAAGTAACAAACAAATGAAAACATCAGTATTTTCTGAAACTTTTTTTTTTGATAGCTTTTTTTCCAAGGATACTTACATGAGAGTACTGTGTAGGTTGGATGTAACAAAACAGTTGAAAAAAGAAAGATCAGGGTTTGTATAAGATCCGGGCCAAACTTAAGAACTTTGAGGTAATAAACAGCAGTACAAACCTCTGCTTGATTTTTTGTTTGCAACTGGTGAGATTCAAAAACATGACAAAAACCAATGAAGATGACCATCTGATGTGTTGCTTGAATATAGGATCACTGTCTGTTATCCCAGTTCAATTCAACAGTTGTTTGCTGGTCTAAAGTCAGTAAGCATCACACAAGTCTCTGTCATGATGCTCCTTTACTCGCTAAACTTCTATAATGTTCCCTGCTTGCCAACATGAAAGTGCCCGGTTCGTGTCCCGGTGGGGGCACCGGGATCTTTCTGCATGGAGTTTGCATGTTCTCCCCGTGCAGAGTGGGTTCTCTCCGGGTTCTCCAGCTTCTTCCCACACAGTCCAAAAACATGCTGAGGTTAATTGGTGATTCTAAATTGTCCGCAGGTGTGAATGTGAGTGTGCTTGGTTGTCTGTCTCTAAGTGTTGCCCTGTGATAGACTGGTGACCTGTCCAGGGTGTCCCCTGCCTTCACCCTAAGTCAGCTGGGATAGACTCCAGCCCCCCTGCGGTGATTAAGCAGGGTGTAGATAATGGATGGATGGACAATGAAAGCAGCATGTCTAACTCTACCATAACTTTAACATTTACAAAGTGATACCTGGAGGAGGATGAGACTGATCGAGGAGGCCGGTTTCCTTTAAGTGCTCTCAGTTTGTCTCCCTGAGTTAGACTGGCTTCCTTGCAGTTATTCTACACAAACACACAAAGAAAAAGAGACAGAGTGTTGTTGGATAATCAAGAAAAAATCTTCAAATTGAACTTAAAGAAAATGTAAAGTTATTGTTGAGATCACAATGTAAATATTATTGTCTCTTTGCAGTGTAAATTCTACAATCCTTACGTTAAAGAGGTGGTTATAAGGACAGCAGAGAGTCCCGCTCCTCACCTCATCCAGGCTGTATGACTTATGGAGGGTGGTGTTGATCGACAGGTCGTCCATACTGGACAGCAGGCAGGACATGGCCTCCTGTTTGCCTCCTTCCACAGAGTCGGAGCTGTGAAGCTGCTGCTGCTGTTGGCGCTGCTGCTGCAGCTGCTGCCGCCGACTGAGTCTCTGCTGGACCAGCTTCTGTTTGGAGCGATGGACGTCTCCCTGCACCCACAAACTGTGTTGTTTCCTACAGAAACACAGACGGTAATTGCTCACACTGACAATTCTACAATGCTGATGTTTCGCAGGTATATTGAATGAATGTTTGGCAGTTTAAGATAAGATAAGAGATTAATCTGTATTGTCATTGTACAGTCACACTTTTGTACCATGGTACAACGAAATTCGCTTCTCATTCACAATGGTGTGAAAAAGAGGACATGGAATTGTCAAAGATGAGCATATACAGTTCACTTAACATATCAGATATGTCAAATAAGCAATTAGCAAAAATAAATGTTATGTACAGTTATGAATGTTACCAAAAAAGCTTATTAGCATGACAACACAGTCTAATGAACCCAAAGTGCAGCTGAAGCTGATGGGAATTAAACAAAATTTGCATATATCTATTCATAAATAACACAGTAAACAAATTATTGGACACGCAGCAAAATTAAAGTGATTAAAAAGTCATCTTCTGGGAACCAAAAATGTCTGTAACAAATATTTTAACAATAAAAAAACAAAAATAGTTTCCATGTTAGCATGCACATTATTATCAATTTGATGTTAAAAGAAAAGTTATTTTATATTTCGGTTGTCAAAAAATCCTGAAAATGGCTGCAGTAACTGACATTTACTTTTGGATTTGAGCCCCAACCCCATAACTGAAGCCTTAAAAACACCTAACAACAACAACAAGAAGAAGAAACAAACAAAAAAACATTTAGGCTAACTTTTTAAATGACAGCTGAGTATTTTTTTATTTTTATTTTTTTACAGACTGTTGGTCAATGCATTCTTTTTAAACAAATGTTACTGAAACAGGAGGAACTAGTGCGGGACTATTTTCAGCGTTGGATTAATTTACATATGCGGCTCCAGTGAGTATTTCCAGCAGCAGGACAGTGTGTGTTGGACTAAGCCAAAATAAACTACAGTGTAAGTGTGTTAATGGTAATTAAGGAACATGTCAGTCAGAGCAGGAGTGTGGCTCACTAGTGCGCTTTAAATACCTTTAGGACAATAATAGAGCTTGATGGTACCGGGGAATAAAGCACAGCAGAGTTAGCCAAGAACTTAACTGATCTGAAGTTTAAATTTAGGATAACGAATAAAAACAACAACTCATGTGAAGTTATCAGGATTTAATCTCTGAGAGCCCTGATCAACATGTCAGTATATTTAACTCTGCAAAGCCAGCAGATCATTGCCATCCATAGAGCCAGGCCACTAACAAACAGCATTAAATGTCTGGCAAAGGTTGATACTGTTCTCAACATTTAGCTGGATTTAGTCATTTAGTCTGTATATAAACTATGGACGTAGTGACTAGGACGTCACCCATTGGTTTTTGGATTTTGAAGCTTCAAGTTTGGAATTTGGGTTTGTTGGACACTACGCATGCCTCACTTTATTGCCTAGTTTCCAATAAACTAGACCATAATGTACGAAATTAACATTGTGCTATATTAAAGGAGACTTGAAACTATCGATTGAGACAATATATTTGATAAGAAAATGTTTACCAAGGTTATAAATTACATAAAAAGTAGGGTCATTGTCTCATAGACTTCTATACAATCATGTTTCTTTTTGCAACCAGAGGTGTCGCCTCCTGCTGGCTGTTAGAAAGAATTACAAGTTTAGAATACTTCACACTGGCTTTGCTTTACAGACTTCGAGGCTACGTCCTTCTTTTTTATACAGTCTTTGGGATTAAATGAAAATGACTTGTCCAGAACCTTCTAAAAGTATCTATATTGTAGTAACTTAACTGAAGGGAAGACAGAAAACTGTTTTGTTTCTGAAACTCACTCCTCTAAGAAGTTCTGCTGGGGACCGATGACGGATCCGGGTCGGCAGATCCTGATCCAGGCGATGGCCTCGGCTGCAGTGAAGCGGAAGTGTTTCATCAGGTAGCAGCCAATCAGAGTGCCCGTACGACCCAGACCGGCTACAAATAATGAGAAAAGTTAGTTAGGACACACAACTACGATAAGAAGTGGGTTTTTCGGCAGCAACAAAATACCTAAACCAGTCCAGCCTCACCTTTACAGTGCACGGCCACCGCTCCCTCTGTGCTTTCACACACATGTAGGAAGCGCCTGACAATGAGGTCAGAGGGTGTCGTCCCATCCAGGAAGAAGAGATCGTGGTGATCAAATCCTGCGTCCTCAAACCGCCTGCCTTCATACAACTTCCTGTTCAGACGAACCACAGCTCTCACTTCATTTTGGCGAAAGTATGCAAAGTACGCCTCAGGTGAATGTAGAGGGTAACCTGCAGGTAGAATCAACAACAGATCGATGATTCACCAGTGAAATGTAGATGATTGAATGTTTTAAGGAAATAATTGAGACTTCACAAAACCCACGGCAGACACTTGGGAAATGATTGTCAATCAGTTGTTTTGATTTGTAACTTTACTCACCGTTCTCTACTTTACTACGAGGGTGAGGGCTGCTGAATGCCAGAATTTTCCCAGGAATTATCCAGTTCATGTCTCCATTTTCTACTCGCTATAAACACAGACAGAAAAGAAGCAGATGCAGTGCATGTAATCTAGCAACATACGTTATTTTCAATCAGAAAAAATATACAGGCCTCAAAGTACAACCTAGACATTTTCTAATATTTTGTGTGTTTGCCTTTATTTTTGGTGATGGATGGATGGATACAGTCCACCACAGATGGATGGTATCATCTGTGGAAAAACCTTTCCCCTGCTCTTCGCTGGTGTAATTTTTTTTTGTTTTTATTTTTTACCTGGTTCACAGTTGTCTATTTTTTACGTCTTCAGAAGCTTAGGGTGATTGTTGCAACAATCCATCCATCCTTTATCTGGCTTCACTGCTTAATCCTCACTGGGGTCGCGGGGGGGCTGGAGCCTATCCCAGCAGACGTAGGGCAAAGGCAGGTGGACACCAGTTAACCTCAACATGTTTTTGGAGAAGCCGGAGAGAACCCATGCTGTGAACTACACGCCCCCCCACCAGGACGTGAACCGGCGACCTTCTTGCTGCGAGGCAACAGTGCTGCCTGTTGTACCTTGCAGCCCTGTTGCAACAATGTTTATTGTCTTATTTGAAAATCCTTCATCGGTATCCTACCAAGCTCCAAGAGTCATATTTAAGTCAGTGTTTGGGTAGAAACCTGCAGTTAAAGTTCTGTGTATAAAAGTCATCTATCACCTTCTGCATCCTTACATTAGCACATTGTCACTGCACAGTCTGATGCTCGCCACCGTGCAGAATGTGCTGCCAACATTCATCAGACTGCTTTCATCCTGCACTGTTTTGTGAACAGCAGCTTTCTCCTTGGACACCGCCGTTTAATGCAATGTCTACCAGTTTTCAAAGATAAACCTTGAGCCAAGTCAGAGGTGTTTAGTGTCAGTTTTTCAATAAGCGGTTGTGTAAACAGAGAGATGTGTGTGGTGTCATTTTTGAGCTAGTCACTGCTCCTTCTGTTACTGATAGCATAGATCTTCCTGTACCTCCTAACCACTGCTGCAGCTGTGTTTCGGCTCATGTTCGGGAGCTACTGATGTTTTTGTACCTTCTGGTTCTGGCAGTTAATCACCTTGTAGAACCATATTGCACTAGACACAACCCAGTGCAATGTGTAGTTCACAGGCTCTTTTATAATGTTGTTTATTGGATATTACTGGTGTAATCAGTTACATTGTGGCTGTAGTTTGGGGCTTTTATTCTAAAGTAACCAATGTGGTTTATAATTCTACATCACATGCCTTTGCCTCAACTTCAAAATATTACGATCCTCTTGAAAATCATTCAACATGTTAGCGATCCTGCACAGGCGTGTACTTTGTTTGGTTGTGTAATATCGCAGCAGTTTGTAGTGTGTTACCTCATAATGTTCATAATCCTCAGCGCTGAAACTTTCAAAGTCCAGGAAACCGTGTTGTAATGCCTGCAGGAGAGGGCAGAGGAGGACGGCTTTTTTTAATTAAAGTCACTAACTGAATTCCCTCCACCGTGTGTGTGTGCGGAGGTTAAAGTAAGTGCCTTCTTAATCTACTTAAGTAATCTGCTGTGGTTGAGTTTAGCTGCGCTCTGCTCTTTACCTTACGTATTCCTTGCAAGCAGTCGAAGACGGTGAGGTTGAAGGAGCACTCGCCCACCGCTGCATCCCTGTAAACCACAAAGACGCACAATAATATAAATATGCTAGTTTTAACATCCTAATCTTGGCATCAGATACAATCAAGGAGATTTTTTTTTAGTTTTTGCATCCTGTAACCAAGATGTACAGACCACAATCAGCTGTAGCAATCTGTTTGGTTGTATTAATGCTGCTCTTTGTCTCATGCATTCCATTTGCTGTTGTGTTGAGGAAAAAATGAACAAATCCGTAGTAAAGATGTAGTAAAGGTGGAAATGAAAACACATTTTTGTCACCGCACTCAAGTTTTACCAGACGTGACACTCACTCGTATTTGTCTGACAAGAATCACGGGTTATTTGTACAATCTTTGCATAAAATGACAGTTTGCACAAGAACAAATATGTGTATTTGTACACGTGAGGTGTGATGTTTATATACAGTCAAATGTACAGAGACTCTGTTGGTTGTTTACATCGCAAATACAGCAAACTGATGTCAGAGATAAAGTCGACCTTTTGGGAAAATTTTTCACCTACTTTCCTTCTCAGAGTTGTGAGAAACAAGCCAGCGGCAGGTTAGCTTAGCATGGAAACAGCAAGCTTGGCCACGAAGGTATGAAAACATACCTGCCAACATCTCTAATGCTCACTAACACTAAGTCAGCTGTGTTATTCATACAGAAAAATGACAAAATTACAGCTCCATGTCAAGCTAAATCTTCATTCCTGATATATCACACGTAAAGCAGCAGCCATCATGCGAAAGTGCTCTCAGTGCTCTTCAAAATGGGCTGATTTGCTCTGAAAGCCGATTTGAACTGGTGAGCTGTTGGTTAGTTGGATGTGATGTAGCAACTGGGTCGAATTCTTCCTCACTTGTACAGCTGGGAGGGTAACTAGTAATGAGAGGTAACCGTCTTCATATTTTAACAGCTTTTATTTTACACCTCCAAGTTTACAACAACCACAAAACCCAACAAAATAAAATTTCTCCATATGGGACCTTTAACAGGCACACATGAGAGTGGTGTTGGTCTCATTTAGCTGAAATGTATCTGCCAAGAAGTTGAAAAAATAAACACAACCGTACATTCTGATTGTAGTACAGTCTGTGGTGGAAAGCATTTTATATTTTTACTAGCGCAGGTGATAAATTCTGGCTTTACAATGCTGCAGAAAGTGTGTTACCAACACCAGCCAGTGTTTATGTGTTTGTACCTGAACGGCAGGTAGCCTGCGTTGTTTCCTGAGATCAGAGTCCTGTAGGCTTCTTCTGGACTCCTTTTCAAATAGATGACCTACAGGACAGAGGTCAAAGTGTATTAACAGTGATGGATCGATGAACAGACAGGCAGATGGACGAAGTGACGAATGAATTAAAAGATATTTACAGCATAGGCACCGATGAGAACGGCAGCGTTGGCTCTCCTCTTCTGGTCATAGCTGGTGTAGTGAACCAGCTTTTTTCTAGACATTGTGAAGGACTAGTGACAAAAAAAAAGTTAAAATTCATAATCAATTATCAGTGTAGACTATGTACTTAGACCACATCCTAGGAAAGTGTATAAATTGTGTTTTGTTTTGTAGAGTGCAGTCAGTCTGCGTCACCTTGAGCTTCTTGTTGAGTTTGCAGCAATATCTGTACAGCATGGCCAGGTTGAGAGGCCCAAAGTCTGCATAGAAACTGCAACACACAGGGAAACATAAGAACGTGCCTTATTTAGTATGTATGTCTATGTCAGGTGCTACAATTCCTTCAAAACGTGCTCTTCTAGATTCAGAGACAGTTTCTTCCCCAAGGCCATGAACACACTAAACTCAGATAAACACGATGCAAACCTTCTCACATTGTGACAAACAACCATTCATTCTGCTATTCATCTCTCACTTTGTCTATTCATGTCAATATCTAATGTTGTTTACATACCATGTCTCATGTTGCTACTTTTTATATTCTACATCCATCCATCCATCCATTATCTATACACCGCTTAATCCTCACTAGGGGGGCTGGAGCCTATCCAAGCCGACTTAGGGTGAAGGCAGGGGACACCCTGGACAGGTCACCAGTCTATCACAGGGCTACACTTAGAGACACACCTACGGACAATTTTACAATCACCAATTAACCTCCCTGTGTGGGAGGAAGCTGGAGAACCCAGAGAGAACCCACGCTGCACGGGGAGAACATGCAAACTCCTCGCAGAAAGATTCCGGTGCCCCCACCGGGATGCGAACCGGCGACCTTCTTGCTGCGAGGCAACAGTGCTAACCAACTGCACCACCTTGCAGCCCCTATATTCTACATATATATAAGTAGCATGAATGCATTGCACAGGTTCCACTGTATTAGTGCACCACAGCAGATGGACACATTCTACATCATTTAATGACACAAAAATCCACATGGGAAATGCATTCATTAGTTTATTTTAAAAATGGGCTCTTTAATATTTGTCCTGTTGGCTTTGGGTGTTTTAATATTTACATTTTCTATGCACCAAGAGGAGAAGCACTCCTCAGTTTGCTGCATCCAGACCCTCCAATGACACTAAATGCTTTCTGATTTCTGATACAATATATGTATATGCAAATATGCATGCAATGACAACAATACACACACACACACACACACACACACACACACACACACACATCTATATATATGTGTGTGTGTGTGTGTGTGTGTGTGTGTGTGTGTGATGATAACAATAATCATCATTATCATCATCATAAAAACAGTCATCATCATCATAATAATGGGCTGCACGGTGGCCCCGGTTAGGACACCTGATGTCTTGTGCTGAGGTTAATCGGTGATTCTAAATTGTCCGTAGGTGTCAATGTGAGTGTGCTTGTTTGGTTCCAGCCCCCCAGTGACCCTATTGAGGATTAAACAGTGTATAGATGATGGATGGATAATAATAGTAATAAATTATTTAGGTAATGGCCAGGTCAGTAATGTGGCAGAAGCTCTTTTGGGTGTCTCTGTGGAATAGTCTGCCAGAACAGTCTGCTCCAACTGCAAAGCTTCTTGAGTCATTTGACTTCAATGTATCCTGAAGCAGCAGAAGCTTCTTGTTCTCTACAGCGTGTTAAAGGTTAGTGGAGCAGGTGTGTTCTGATAATCTGGTAACATCATTAAGGCGGCCTCTGACTTTGACATGCTGGAGCGACGGTGCAGTGACCCACCTCTTAAACATATTAAGCTGCTGGATTTCTTTTGTCTGGGATCAAACTGTTCTACAAACCTCACATGTCTGCATCCTCACTCGAGACGTAGATGAATGCCAGAATGTCTGGACAGAAAATAATGGAGCTTAAACGTTCCATGTGAATGTGAAGCCAGATCTCATGAGAAAATCTTGTTTATCAGGTCATCCCTGTCCATGTGGATGCTGGTCCTGCACATTGTAAATGTAGCTCAAAACATGGGAATGATATCTGATCCTCATCTCTGCTTTGTAGCTATTGAATAGGTGATTAAATATCTGCATTTAGTACTGCTTTTATAATATACAGAGACAAGGATTTTGACTCATAGAAAGACATTTATCTCTATCCCCACCTTCCACCTTCCCTGGACTGACTAATCATTGCTTATATTACAGTGCTGTGGCTCTGACTTCAGGGTGAAACAGAAGGTCTGGTTTCAAACTAGGTTTTTGGTCTCTTCATGAACCAGATCACATGGTCTCTTTTTGTTTCTCTAACACCAGACCAGTGACAAGAGGTGACCAAGAACACACTGTCAGAGCCTCAACACACTTTTTCTCAGGCTGCTACTTCAGAGTAATTTTAATCTTAATTTCCTAGGATGAAGTTTTCACAAAGCCTTTGCTTATTTAATGTATTCATTTCCTTTTTTTTTTTTTGTGTGTATTTTCTGTTTTACTTATCGGACAGAAACTTTTGGTGAGCGTTAGTATCTTTAAACGGGAATCAAAACAACGAGCTTTCATGGGTTTGATTAAGAAGTTTTATGACTTTGATTCAGTTTTACTTGTAGTCACATTTAAATTGTTGTATTCCTTCTTGTGGATTTTATATATGCCTTATCTATCTTTTAATGACAGTATTTATTTTGTATTATTTATGATATGTTGATTTAGGTATTATTATTATATTTTTATTATTATTATTATTATTATTAACAATAAAATAATAATAATAATAATAATAATAATAATAATAATAATAATAATAATAATATATGCTTTTAGTACTTTTCCACTTCAATCGTTTAGTTTTCAGCTTGTCAGTCACCTGTAAAACGATTGCAGCCTCTACAGAAGATGCTACACAAGTCGCCCTCACTTGAATCAACTTGCTTCTTGTGCTTTAATCTGATACAAACTATGTTGGTATATTCATATTCTCCTTATGGTTCTCAAACTCACACATCCCTCCTCTCTATTTGATCTGGAGGCGCAGCTGAAGCCTGTTGGAGTCATAAATACACCAATTCTTCACAACAGTCAGCACGGACCTATAAGCTTTTCCCTCCAGTGTAAACACATTGTTGTCGTTTCAGTTGGTGCTAATGAGTGAAGCAGCGTGTCAAACACTGTGCACGTCACTCGTCAGAGGTAAAAACAGTGCACTGGGATGATTAAGTGTCAAGTCTGAATGGCATCATCCTGTGTTTGTCCTAAATCCCTGAGCATGACGAGGCCACCGTCACTGATCTCATCTTGGCCTATATCTCACAGCGGGATCATAACCACTGGCTCAACATCTCTGGAGGTGTTTCACCTACAGGCACGTGAGCAAGTCAGCATTTCATTCTTGTACAGTTATATTTCTCAGTCAAGTGTTCCTCTTAAAAACACCTACACTACTGTATTAGTAAATAAGTGAAGAAAATAAGGAGGACATTGGCCTATTTGGTGGCCAGTGAAGAAGCTTCTGTGTTGGTTTGAGACCAGGGGATTGTGCAGACCATCCTCCAGAGTAATGCTAGGCCTTCAAATTTGATTATACTTCCTAGCAGACATGTACACAGACAGCTGCAGACGTGTAGGTAGTTGTTATTGTACTGCTTTGAAGTCTGGTTGGAATAAGATAATATAAGATATAACTTTATTTAACCCGAGGGAAATACTTCTGCCAGATATTGCTCAGAAAAAAATGACATGAAATGAGTATAAAAGCAGTGCCTAATGGAAGAACGGCAAGAAATAAGTATGAGAAATGCGTAAGCTAAGGTAAGATTGGAATAGAAAAGCAAGATGATGGCAATGATTTTGAGGTAATAAAGTGACATGATAATAAAATATTAAATCATCAGAATCAGAAAGCCTTTTTTTTCAGTTTCAAAAACTGTTAAGACGACTCTGCCTGTACGTGTGCAGTAGATCAGTATCTATGTGTTTCATCCACTGCTGCATCATGTGCTCGCCGACATGAAGCTACAGCACCGGCCTTAAGATCAATTCATACTTTTCCATTTCACGTCTCCTCGAGGACACGTTTGACATTCCTTTCGTCATCTGACTCCTCTGCGAATGTCCCCGTGCAGCCCAAAATGTGTGACCATATGGACTTAACACTGCAAGCATGGCAAATGCGCTTGTTTGATTTGCTCAAAGCTATTTCTTTTTATGATGAGAGACACTTTTATAATTCATCATTAAAACAGTTATAATTTCAGGCGTCGCTGCAGGACTTTGCTTTGATGCTCACGCAGGACTTGCTGTGCTCGGAAAGCTGTAAAAAGTCACAAGCAGTCTTTTAGAAACATCCAAAGGAGACCTCTGTATGTTTTTGCATTCGACATGAGGGACACTGCAACCATGTGTAGACGCTTTGCCTATTTGTAGTATCAATAGAACTGCATCTGCTTCAAAGATTGCTCAGCATATGGAGATGTATAAACCATGAACTGTTGTGTACAAACTTACACTGTGTGCGTTTAAAGTAAAAGCTGAAGCTGTACCAACAAATTAACCTTATTTCATGTGAATGTTGTTGTGATAAGTTTGGGGAATCATTACAAAGAGATGTTTGTAAGGTGACATTACACTTTGTACTGCAAACTGTTCGGTTGACTCAGTGTCCAATGGAGGGTTCAACTTAACTCGAAATAACATCAAAGTGAAATTTTCCCAGAAATCTTCCTTAAAAATTTGGTTCAAGGAGTTAGACGTAAAAAAAAAAAACCTCTGAGTTGGGCTTACTACATATTCTGGATAAGATCAAAGCCAAAACTTAAGCAATGAACTTCAAACCCCAAGCTTAAAATGTTACTGAACCTTTTTGGTACCAATATATTTGATTCGATTTTCCCTGATAATGCAAACTTCATGTATTGTAGATTAGCAGCATTACCTTGTTCTGTGTCTTACTGTTTAAGACTGAAGCACCCAGAGGAGATGAGCAGTTCTGTGTGGACGAGCAGAGGTCACTGTGGAGGTTCAGCTAGTGAATGGGCACCATGACAAAGTCTTTTGTGCCGATCAATGACTTCCAGCCAACAAAAATTGCATTAACGCAAGGTGGGATAAATTTACTTTTTATATGCCAGTGGTATAGCTACATACTACCATAAATCTGACTCACCAGATGGAGGTCACAGATAGAGGCCTTTGCCATCAGCTAATCATTTCAGTGAGCATTCTTTCCCTCTTCTTCTGTTGGTGTGTTTCCATTTTGTTTGCAATATGACACATCCTTTGAGCAGTAACCTACCAACACTGCACTTTGGACAGTGCAGTAAGCCACACAGGCAGCTGCAGACGCCACTGATTTTGGGCTGCATGAGAGACGGGTTTGTGTGGACTCGCAGGAGGAGAAGTTTGCAAACACATCAGAGATCCAGGGAGTTCCCAGAGAAATGAATAGATGTCTGACTGATTCACATACATACACAGTGCTGTGTGGAATTTAGGCATGAGACCACTATGAGCATCACTGCTGACACCCCCATGTGACTTGTTTTGAATTTGTGTAACATAGCAGCAACACACAGCCCAACACAGGCCACAATTATTTAGTCTGTTACTTACCTCTCATATAGAAACTCCTCATCCGTGCTGAAGTAGTGTGTGCTGGCTGTATTCTTTGGTTTGACTCGTACTGTGGCAAAGTAGAGCCGGTCTGTGGTGCAAAGCAAGCAAACACACACACACACACACACACACACACACACACACACACACACGGACAGAAAGACATGCAGACAGACAGCATTGAATTATTGAAGGTGTTGTGGGTTCAGGTGGATCACAGACTGTCGTGGCTTCATGTCAGGGACACAGAATAATACATGAACTTCACCACCGAATGTCATCAATTGTAAAATCTTCCATGTTTATAAAAGAAATAAAAATTGCACTTTATAAGGGGAGAGTAGTAGGTTTATGCATGATTCATAAATACGGCACTAATAATAAATATATATTGAGCCTATATAAATTGGGTTGCCAGTAAGAGTTTTGTTGGAAAAGAAATTCAGCCCGGTAGTATTTTGTTGGGACTGTCCCAGGCTGAGTGTTAAATGATTACATATGTACAGGATATGACTATTGTCGCATTAGTCTAGTAGGTCACACCATAAACTGGGGTTTTCTGATGCTCCACCGACCCACCGATGGGGTGACCCACCTGGTTTTGTCCTGATGCAACACCACCAGTTGTCAGGTTGTGGTTCTGGTTAAATCTTGCTCTCTTTAATACGAATACTACTTAATACTATTTTTATACTTCAATACTTTAATACTAACCCGAACCGTCTTTAATACAAGAAGACCCTGAACGACTGCTTTCGGTATTAACTTTTCAAGTGTTTTCAAGACATGAATGTGTTTAAATAATTTATTAAGGATTAATAAATCCTTTATAAAAGCTTAGAAAAAATAACAGGTGCCTTTATTGAATTGCACTTATTCATTTCAATAAGCCGACAGCTTGATCCCACTTTTTAACATACATTGGTTAACATTTTGGTAAATCAAAATACATAAAGCACTGTACTGAATTTAATATTAGCAGTGTTCTGGTAGTGTACTCATGAATGACAACTCTCTAGAAATAGGATTATTCTCAGGCAATTTCACTTATATTGCTGTATTTTTTACTTATATTTTGCTCTTGTTTTATTGTACTTATTTTTTTATTTTTTTTTTAAAACCAGACCGGAGTACTAATTTCGTACGACAAACATGTAAAGGTGAGCTAGCATGACAAATTGAGGTCCTTGAATCCTTGAATCCTTGAGTAATTTCTCGATAAGTAGCACCTTCCCCCTCTGGTTTCTGAGTGAGTCTCTGGACATTTATTTATTATGTATTTATAATGATGTCCTTGTAAAGTGTCACACTGAATCTAAAAATGTCTAAAAATATGCATCACGCTACTGTGTTTGAATTAACTGACATGTGACTCCGAGATGGAGAAAAAGTTGGTTTAAGGGCAAATAATCAGCCAAACTTTCTTTTAAAAGGGAAAAAAAACAACAACAATGTCATTATTATTCCTTTGAGAATCCACAGTGAGTCTATGGTTCTCACTGTTGTACTCTATAGTTCCCATTTTTCCTCAAATGTGATTCTATAAAATTGTGAGTTTCATCAAGGTTCTTTCTCTTTTATATAAATTGTATACATATCCCAATGGAGGTTTGAATGTGCAGCTCACTTATTTACACAGAACAGCATCTTAACCTCCAAGGGTTGATGAAAGGTTTATACAATTTCTTGTTTCTTGAAGACATCTCACCTCTCATTCAGTTCTAACTGCCTGTTTGGAAGTCACGTGTTTTTATTCTCACCCCTAAATCCGAAGACTCACATGGATCAGAGTGTGAATGGTTGTGAAACTACCTGGGGATGGACGACTCAAGGTGCTAACAAGATGGTAGTTGAAGAAATTAGGAGTAACATGACCTGGCTGACTGAGAATCTACACAGACAGTTTGTTCTATGATTATTATTGATTGTTAAATAACACAAATACATGCGTAACTTACCTTTAATGAATTCTGACGCACCGGACTGGTCATAGTCCTCTGCCATTTGAGCCACTAACAAGTAATTATTGTAATAAAATCAGTTTGAGATTGAATTAAGATTTTTTAAAAAAGAAAGAAAAATAACTGAAATTGGAATTATTTTCTGGGTTATCTGTTGTGAGGGCACTTGAGATGCGCCCAAAGAATCACGAGTTCACTGTAAAGCATCCTGACAGCAGAGACACCTCCATGCTCCTGACACTACTCTGAGTTCAAATAAAAAAAACGCACAAGTCCACATAAAGTCACGTCAACTCTTCAACCGGTAAAATGTTTCAGCTGCGGTTCCATGTTCCCGATAATGAGACGATTCAGGCGCGTAAAAAGTCTCCAAAGTCAAATGAAAGCCAACTCAATCATCTCTGACCTCTCTGTGACTCTGAAGTGAACAGTTTCCCGCAAATGATTCAGTCCCACTGTGTCTAAGTTAAAACGTTTCCCAGAATATTCCAGCGAACAGCCGGAGACGCACAAAACCCTCCAGAGTCAGACGGAGCGCTAATCTGTGAACTGCTCTGCGCATGCTCAGTCAGCGCACACACACATTCGCGCTGCACACACACACACTGGTGAGCATGTTACCAAAGCTTCGTAGAGGTGGATTGACGGATGAAACAGTACTTGTTGCATATACTCCTGTAATCCTTCTTCCCAGTAATGTGCATTTATATAATAGCTGCATTTTAATGCTGATAAAAACATATATTAAGTCCACTTTTGTGATTAGAGTTCAGTGTTACAGCAGCACAAAGAGCCACTAAGATATTTTATTGCATTTATTTTCATTTCCAGCCTTTAATGACCTGCTGCAGTGCACATAACAGTGACTTGAACTGGTAAAGTAACACTGCGGGTTGAGTCGCCTGCCTCGTGCACGTACTGCAGCTCGCTCCTGTCACCCAAAGGTGTGGAGCCAAACACCCGGGTGCCAAATGTCTGAGCTCCCTGACTGCCCGGCTGAGCTGTGAATCATGGGGCCAACCAAATCTGGACTTATAGCACGTAGTCACAGAGTCTCAGATGGTGATTAGACAGATAAGTCTTTGCTTGGTTATTAAACTAAAGTTGGCGTCACAAAGGACACAAAGAGACTCTGTGATATTTTCCAAATGTATAATTTATAGGAGGTCTCCATAGTCACTTAATACACTCTGCTCTGTAACAGGATACGGAGAACAAAATGTGCATTTAAAGGTGACATCAGATGGACATTGAGGGAGAAGGGATCAGGCCTCCAGACCAGCAAATTCTGTATAAAGTTCCAAATATCTTGTTTTCAGTCTGAGACTTCTGAGATCTCTCCGACTGTCTGACATGTGTCCTCTGTTTTATCTCTTGCAGTCAATCTGTTCCTCTGCTGACAGTTCATGCAGGACTTGCTTGACGAGGTTTGGCACAAATTGTTTGAATTTGTTCATTTGACCGTACCTCCTTTGCCCATAGAAATACATGCAGATGGTGCACGCTGGTTATTTTTCAAAAATAAATTCTTCTTATGTATTCATGGTGTTATTTTTGATTTGAAAATAAGTATCTATATAGAGGTCAATGTGGTGGCATGGAGTGATGTAGACGTGAAAAAAAGGGGATGAGTAAAACCTTCATGTCTTCTCAAAACCTTTAAAACCACTTTATACTAATGTGTGTGAAGGAGCAGAGGCCATTTTAAGGATCTAAACATAGTAATAGATGTATTATTTAAAGCTGTGTGTTTTTATCTACCTTAAAACTGGAGAGAGTCTTTAAGTAAGAACACTGTGCACCTACCGTACGTTTTAGTTATTTGAAACCTATTCATTATAGGAAGAAAAATACTGAACAAAACTTGTGTCTGAGTTCAGTTTTACATAAAAGTATAGCAATATTGAAAATATTTAAAGCATATTTAAGCTATTGCTTTGAAAAAAAATGTCACCTTTTGTTCTTACTTAATGTATTAAATTTATTTATTACAGGTTTTTTTGTGATAAGTCTCCGGTTGGCCTGGTAAAATAATAGGCCACTCATTACAGTTTTTACAGGCTGTCAGCTGGCTTGGATATGAGTAAATTCAGGCAGTTTTATTGGATAGATTATGACCTGATTCTGGAAAGGTATCTGCATCCGACTCAGGGCGGTATTGATTCCGTCTGCCATTTCAGTTGGGGTGATTGCGGCCTTGTGCCGGTGGTGTTGGCTCAGTGTCGACCGCTAAACTCGGGGCAGTGCGCTCCGGCCAATTCTGGAGCATTGTTCATGTTTCACAAGAGTTTCATGTTTCCCAATCGTACTCAAGCCGAGCTAGTTCGTCTGACCTGCTGGATTTGGGCCGCTACTGGGCCAAATCATTTGGCTGCCTGGATGTATGACATTAATTTCATAGTCTTCAGTACTGAAACTAGACAACTAAATATTTCCAGGCTTAGTGGTTGCACTGTACATGGTTCCTGGGACAAACATCAGTTTAGCTGTTGGTCAGTCAGTCCACCACTTTGGTGGACTTCCACTCTATATATGGCTCCTTAAGGATATAAGTATCTGGAACTCCCAACTAGTCAGTCAGAACTGATGAAGCCTCTTGGATGAGAGGTGAAATGTCTTCAAGGAACTCAAGCAAGTCCAGTTGCTACGATTAATCTACCAGAATAACCATGAGCTGGATGACTGAGAATCTTCACAGACAACATTAGTAGTTTCTTGTCTCTGTTGAATTAAGTTAGAAGTGAAATCATATGGGCAGGCTTCAGGTAGTCTGACTCAGGTATGAACCTGATGGTTGCTCATTTCAGGTGCTTTTCTCCTCACCTTCCATTTTCTGTGTCTTACCATTTTCTAAATTCCCACAGCGACTGGAAACAACAACCTGAGAGTAGGAACCTAAACACTGAATTTCAAAAGTCGAGGACTATAGTGTTCACTTCTCCTCAGATCTCTACGTGTAATTTAAATCCTGACAGCCACCATAATACACCTCTGAATGGCAGATTTTTGTTTTCTGGGCATAAATATAAATGGTGGTTGGTTGCCCAGGATGACTGTGATTGGCTTAAAGAAGCAAACAAGACCCCCCCCCTATAGCAGACTGATAGTTATGTGTAGCAAGGCTAATGTGTAAACAGTAATAATGGTGAAAAGAAACTGATTTGAAACATAAAATAAACAGTCGTCTCCACTGTTAAAATTGATCAATCGCTGTTTTTCGGTTCCATCCATCCACCCCAACCTCCTCCCAAACGTGAATTTTGTGGCTATTAACTACATCACCTGACCTCCACTATTACACCTGCTATAACGACCACAACCTGTAAAATGTAAGCAGGAGTCACAATAAGCTGCACTGTAGTTTTTATAGAATACACTCAAAATGTATTCCCCCACCAGCAGGACAGAGTTCCACTTATTCTATCAAATACTCATACACATGTTTATGGTCCCCAGAACATGAATCCTACTCACTACCATGAGATTTATGGTTTTCAGTGAAATATCTGACAAAATATTAAATTAGCAGTTCAGTAAACAATACTTTAGTTTATGACCCAATACTATGACTTCTACTCTGGCTCACATGACTTTTGTGTTGTGTGCTAATTAGTAAATATTATCACGTCAACACACTTAACTGAGTGAACCTAGTGAACATCAAACCTGCCTAACATGTCAGCGCTATCACCATGAGTATGTTAGTATAGCAATGCAGTCGCACCATGTCAGCAGAAGGGAAAGAGCAGGAAAGACGACTTATTTGAGCCTAATGGTGTTTATGGCGGAGTCAAAAGAAACAGTTAGAGGGCTTCCAAAGGACCAAAACACATAATAATACACTGTATGTTTGTTTCATTCATTTTATTTTGGCTCTTGAGAAATTATCTGTGCAACTTTTTTCAAGAACTTGCCATCTGAGCAGCTCCTTCAGTTGCTCAGATGGAAATCCAACTCATCAGTGTTGGATTGAAATAGCTTGGATGCCATTTTATTTGTCACACAGATAAACTTGGATGTTAAAACTTTCCATCTATTTGGAGCAACTATACAGAGTAAAATGTAAGTGTCTGTGTCTTCAGCAGATACTGGATTGGTTTAGTATAATATCACTGTGGTAATGTTGACCTCGCATCGTGTCTAACCTCTAACTCAGACAGCCACAGCCACACACAGATCTTCATCTATGGGATGTCGTCCTATTCCTGGTCTTAGCTTCATCTGCTCTAGTTAGCCTATTAGACGTCAGATTACCAGCAGGAAGGGAGGGAAGGAGCAGGGTCACGGCTGAGGACGCCTGCACCATTGGCATCAACGCAAACACAATGTAAAACAAAAGACATGTTGGTCCTGATGATGGCTTTTCATCAAAGCATTTCAATGCTGGAGCACAAACTGGTTAACAGCAAATAAAACATTGTCTGGACATTGTAGTAAATCCTGTTCCAAATGTCATTTTCATCACTGGATTACCAAATTGAGCATTTATTCATTTTCAAATGCAGAGGCAAGTTATAACTTTGGATAGACTTTATGATAGAATCTATGGTTGTAACACTATTGAAGGTTCTTTTACAGCACGAGAGGCGACATGAAGGTTGGTCCTCCAATGACAGACTGCCCCCTTGTGTTCAGTCACATTATACCTGCTGTATCTGCTGAGTTGTGTTTGCCTGTGAGTCAGAACCGACTGCATGTAAGACTTGTTTGATTAATATCAGAATTGATCACTGATAGATTATCTCTGAATTTAACAAAATATGGAGTGAAACTAAATAATTAATTTATGGAAATAAGTCAATAAGAGTCTGAACATGCAACAGTGCTGGACCTTATTTCACTAAAATTCAGCTAGCTGCTCCACTTATCATTGTCCATAATGTAACGTTAAAGAGCCACTAGTTTAGAGGGACTTGGACTGGATTACCAATCATTGAAAGTGGGCGACAATCCCAACAAAGCTTATATTTCTTTTTTGGTGAGATTAAATCACATTAATACTTTGGGTATTAATACTTGGCCTGCATAATTACCTGCCTTGTGTTTCTGTCTTGTAGACCAATGTTT